TACACATATATACTTCAATATATTTCCTAGTTTGTCCACTAAGAGCTCAGACCTAAAAGTAATGCCCTTCCCATAGCAATGAGCACCGTAAGCACCCAGATCCTGGGTTTTCAAAACCATCCTTCACTAATGGGATCCAGGGCTCATTGGAGAAATGGCAGGTTCCCAGAGCTAGGGCAAAGTATAAGATGAGCTGGATCATCTTCTTGTGCCAAAAAGTAATAAAATTAAAAAAAAAAAAGGATAAATAAGAAATCCTAAAATCTCCTAGAGAGAGGGGCAGTGGTGCTGGCAGCCTCACAGGCACAGCCAGTTTACTCAGTATTGAGTGCACACCACACCTTAGCAGCAGCAGTGGGGCGTCCCCTGCTGTCAGAGCCCCTGCACTGGGGCAGCCACCCTGGCTCCCTCTGCTCTTCCACCCTCTGCTCTCACCATGGTTGATCAGCTGATCAAAGAACAGATTGCTGAGTTCAAGGAAGCTTTCTCCCTATTTGACAAAGACGGTGATGGCATCATCACAACAAAGGAAATTAGAACCACCATGAGGTCATTGGGTCAGAGCGCAACAGAACCCAAATTGCAGGATATGATCAATGAGATGGATGCTGATGGTAACAGCACCCTTGACTTCCCAGGATTTTTTTACTCTGATGGTTAGAAATGAAAGATACATACAGTAAAGAAGAAATTCATGAGGTATTCTGAGTCTTTGACAAGGATGCCAATAGTTACAGCAGTGTGGCAGAACTATGTCATGTCATGACAAACTTAAGAGAAACACTAACAGATGAAGAATTCAGTGAAATGATCAGAGAGCCATATACTGATGGAGATGGACAAACAACTATGAAGATTTTGTACGGGGCACCTGGGCGGCTCAGTTGGTTGAGCATCTGACTTTGTTTTTGGCTCAGGTCATGATCCCAGAGTCTTGGGATTGAGCCCCGAGTTGGGCTCCATGCTAAGTATGGAGCCTGCTTAAGATTCTCTCCCTCTGCCTCTCTCCCCCACTTGCACCCTCTCTATAAAATAAAAAAATAAAAAGGGTGCCTGGGTGGCTCAGTCGGTTAAGCATCCAACTTCGCCTCAGGTCACAATCTCACAGTTCGTGGGTTCAAGCTCTGCATTGGACTCTGCTTTCAGCACAGAACCCAGTATCTGATCCTCTGTTCCCCTCTCTGCCCCTCCCCTACTTGCACTCTCTCTCAAGAATAAACATTAAAAATATATAAATAAATAAATAATTTATACAGATGAGGACTGCAAATGAAGACCTACTTTCAACTTCTTTTCCCCCTCTAGAAGAAAATAAATCTTTTACTTACCTCTTGCCAAAAAAAAAAAAAAAATTAATTTATTTGTTCTGTTTCCATACAGCAAAACTGAATATCAAAGGTACCTTCTGTCCACACACACAAAATCTGCATGTATTGGTTGGTGGTCCTGTCCTTTGAAGATCAATCTACCCATCAGTTTTACAATATAAATACTTGTACTACCTTAACAATATGAAAGTACTTGGAGGAGCCCTTGCAGTTCCATTTGTTAATGATTAATACATTGGGTTGGCCAGTTTTTCATACATGCTGCTTGACAACTGAGCAGAGTCAGGCATTTGTGTTAAAAATGAAAAATGAGGGTGTCTGGGTGGTTCAGTCGATTAGGCATCCAACTCTGGATCTCAGCTCAGGTCCTGATCTTAGGGCCATGAGTTCAAGCCCTGAATTGGGCTCCATGCTGAACAGGAAGCCTAAGTTAAGGGAAAGGAGAGAGTGGGAGGGAAGAAGGAAGGAAGGAAGGAAGGAAGGAAGGAAGGAAGGAAGGAAGGAAGGAAGGAAGGAAAGAAGGAAGGAAGAAAGGAAGGAAAGAAGGAAGGAAGGAAGGAAGGAAGGAAGGAAGGAAGGAAGGAAGGAAGGAAAATTTATAAATCTATTCAAATAAGTTCTAGTTCAATATGTTAGTATAAATTGTCATAGCTGGTTCACTGAAAACAAACATTTAAAATTGGTTCACTTCAGGATGCTGTGCAGAAATATGGGTGAAGGATAAACTGTCTAGACATAGCCCCACTTAGTAGGATGGCCCTCTTGTACTTCCATGGGCCCTGACCCATGGTGATGATGAAACACATCCTGGTGACATGCTGCATGTGTTGCTTTAGTATTGACCACATTGTGCTAGAGCAAAATGGGTGTCAGGCTGTCACCATTCACACAAATTTTTAAAAGAAACCTTTACCAGGGAAGCACCTTTGGACTCTGTTTTTGAAATCTTTTGAACCATGATTTGGAGCCAGCAAAGTGGGCTGTGGCTATAGACTTCAGCACAATCATCATCACTGCTGTTCAAGAAATTACAATTTACGTCCATTCCAAATTATAAATGCTAGTCTTTTTTTTTCCAGTAAAAAGACTATTAACCTAAAAAAAATCTAGAGAGAGGAAAAATCAGGTCACCACAAATAAAGTTCCACTCCAGAAAAAATTCTCATACTCTCAGTGTAGAATTCTATACCCAGCAAAAAATATCAATCAAGTATGAGGGATGAATAATGACTTCTTCAGACAAGCAAGAACTCAGAGAATTTATGTTCCACACACCTTTCTGGATTATTTGATTTTTTAAATCAATGTATATGTCTTGCTTTGGGAACTATTTTCAATATTTTTTAAACAGGTACTGCATACTTACCAGTGGGCAACAGAACATTTAGGACCTCTATGTTGCTACCAAGTTACATTCATCCCACTGCATTTCAGTTTTCATTTACTTTTTTGAGTACCTCTTTAAGCTATGACTCCTCTGAGGTCAGGGTCATCTTCATTCCCACACTGCAAGTATAGCCCAGTACCTAGAATTTGATATTGTGGCAAAGAAGTGATGCAGTCATGAAACCCATCCCACTGTCCTCCTGGACACACAGATGATATATTTTTTCCATACTCTTGTCATTAAATTGGAGCCAGGTGACTTCATTCTGGCCATGGAGTATAAGTGAAAGCAATTTATATCATTCCCACAACTGTTACATAAAAACCTCCCAATTCTTCTGCTTTCCACTATGGTAGCAAAATTAAAGACCTATTGTTGAAACTTGGGGAAATTACAGACAGAAGAAGCTTTAGTCCTTGAATACATGCATAAATAGAAACAGCTTTCTCCAACACACACACCCTCATTCCACTGCTCACACACATTGGACTGTGACATGAGCAAGAAATAAACCTTCATTTAATTAATCCCCTGAGATTTAGGGGTTATTTATTAGCAATTAGTATATACAGACTAATGTAGGTAGGAACTTAATAACTGCTTGAAAAATCAAGAGATTTCCTGTAAGGTTCCTAGCAACAACTTGGCAAGTGGGCTAAGTCGCCATGAAAACAAAGTAAACACTGTTTCCTTCCAACTCATAGTCTCCCCAGAAACAACTTATTTCCTTAGATTGTTTGATTTGAAGAGTTTAAATAGTTTTGTTATTGATGATAACAAATACAGAACATGTCTAATAAATGGCTCTCTTGGCACCTCAGCATGAGAATTCAGCCATTTCCTGTGAGATGCACATACTTAGACCAGCTCAAGTACTTTATTCATGGTTCTTCTAAAACATGTATTTACAAATTGTGTTAGGCTCTTTATGAATGGGCAAAGATAAATAACAGATGTTCCCTGCCCTGATGAGTCCAGGAAAGGAGAGGAGATGTAAACAGCCTTCTAAATGCAACAGTAAGCAAAATGGCCCCTAAGCTGAATATGGTAAAGGCCATTGGACTGAGTCTGCAGAGGTGGATCTATTCTGCACCCCGCTCATCCTATAAATATGAGCAAGTCCCTGGCCCTTTCTTGAGCCTGAATTCCTCCTCAGTAAATGGCCAGTTTAGACCAATCTAAGGATGGCAAATACATAGCACGTGAGCTGCATGTGTTAGTCACAGCACTTCTTCTGAGGTGTGTGGACACGGCCTTGGAATACTATGCAACGCAGAACTCCAGCCCACTGCTAATCAGTGAAGCCTACTGGCCATCCCTGAACACAGCATTTTCTAGGTACTCATCAAGCTTCTCTGTGACAAAAGTCAGAAGCCAGGAGAAGGTCCTAAAGGGATACACCCGAGATCAGAAAGAGCTAAGACTAGAGGCTTTGTAGAAAAGCCAGGTCACTTTCAGAGACAGCTCAGTTGGGGTCCCCAGGTTTCTCCACAGCATAGTGGTTAAGAACACAGACTTGGGAACCAGACTACCTGGGTCTGAACCCAGATTCCACTTATCAACTGTCAAAGCTTGGGCAAGTTACTTATGCTGTGCCTCAGTTTCCTCCATTGCTTATTTAAGATAAAATGGGCTTTTATTCATAAAACATTTGGGACAGTGGCTGCTGTGTGTAGCTGTTATGTAATGTTTGTTAAATAAATTATCTACTGAGCATCACAGTGTTTCCTCACCCCAGGGTACGGTGAGAGGGTAGCAATGAGTCTGGAAGCTGGAGGTTCTGGTTAAATGTTTAAGTGAGGAGTTCCTAGTCCAGATGAGTGAGACTGGACATGGGGAGCTCCTGACCTCATCCTGGTACCCTAAATCACCTCTGATCTCCAGACAAACAGATTCTGAACCTCCCCAAATGGTCACAGGCCACATCCCAGCCTTTAGATCTTGAACTAAGTGCGCAACAGTACCCCCAGGCCCTGTGCTGTAGCCTATACCAAAGGAAGGGCTTATATCAAAGGAGTTAAATGTATTGCCACTGGGAATAGAAGGCAATTTCCTCCCTGAAATCTTGGCTCTCCATGCTTCCCTCACTCCACCCTCAACAAATGTTCAGGATATGAAATTGCTGAGGCATCACTGCTTCCTACTTCCCTTTGTAATCTTGGTTCCCTTATTGTAAGAAATACTTTGCCTTGAAGGTCATTTCTCACCACCACCTCAGCCCAGGAGCTTCAGAAGCCCCTACCAGGCAAGTTCTCCTCCTGCAGCAGCTCCCTCAACCCAGGAGGATGAAAGTCTCCATGGCTGCCATCTCCCTCTTCCTCCTCCTCATCACTGGTGCCCTGGTGTCCACGGCTAAATCCTCTTCACGTGAGTGCAATACCTTGTCTTCCTTCCAGCCTTGCCCCTGTGAGGAAAGAAGCAGGAGTAAAGTTGCTGGAGAGACAAGGAGGAGGTCTGGGATCTTCTGAAATTGGTTTTGTCCTCACCCTCCCGGGACTAGTCCCCCCTCCTGCCAAGGCCATGGAGTGAACCTGCCTCTCCACTCCCTCAGTTCATCTCTCTTTGCCATTAAGTAAGTGTAGCCCACCTTATTTGGGGGACATTATCCCCAGGGATACAGAGGAGCCATTTGTCTGCTTGCCCTCTGAGATTGGGGCTGCCGGCTTCCAGGGTCAGCCCTACCCAAAGGTGTGGCCTTGCTTAGGTATGGGCTGAGGGTGACCACAACAGTGGGGGGTCTCACCTCGGTCACCTTTTTCCAGCTTATTTCTTAGGATGAGCTGCCTTTACACACAACCAAAACCATGCCTCACCCTTCATCTTTACCTCAGCTTCTTCTCAGAAACTGGGAGGAAACAGAGGGGGTTGTTGAAATAAAGCCAGTCTAAAGTTAGTGGTAATCTGGACAGTTCGACTTGCCTCTCTGAGAAGATTCCTCTCAGAGGAATAGGTTGAGACTGGTCTCAGGAACCAGTGGACCCCTTATTCCATTCTTTGGAGACATAGGATGCTACCTGGAATGGAACTGGATAAAAGACCCAGCTGTTCCCTTCCCACCCAAGCATCCAGCTGCCCCTCTGCAACCTCAGAGGCCACTGCCAACACACACAGGGTTCTGTCCAGGCTGAGCACATAACATGCACACCCCCAACACTCCACTCCATGACTGCAGTGCCTACTTGTTTCTCCAGGGCCCTCGTTCTGAAGTAACCTTCCTGCTACCTCCATAATTGAAGCTTGAAGGAACGGATTATTTCCAGTCACTCTCTTGCACCTGCTATAAGAGCCATGAAATTTTAGAAATCAGAAAGTAACTGAAAAGTTCACCTAATCCAGTGATGTCTAACATTTTTTAGACCAGGGAACCTTTCTTCCAGCAAAAGATTACTCAGACACAGCAAAAAAGGGCTGAATGGGATACTATCTCTAAAACTCTACTCCCAAATGCATCAGTACCTCTGAAATAGTCCCCAAAGCCCCAAGACCCCCAGAAACTCAGTGTAAAAACCACCAATCCAGTCCAACAGGCTCATTGACAGAGGAGGAAACAGAGAGGGGAACAAAGTTACCATGGGCATATGGCCAGCAAAGGCAAGAGAGGTTGGGACCTGGGTATCCTGACTCCCTTGGTGTCCTTGGGCCTTGGTGTTGGCTTCCTTCTTTGCAGGACAGGGGTTTAATTGGGACACAGGCAAAACCCCATTTTCCCAATCTCCCAGATTGGGAAGGGCTGGGTCTGCACGCCCAGCTGGCGTGTGTCCCTGTCTCTATGGGCATTTCTTCCGAATATCCCTCCTCTTTGGAACACCTGTGCGAGCCTGCCCCACAGGGATGGTGTGTACTCACTGAGAAGATTTGGGCTTTGCTAACCTTCAATCTGGAGTTGAAGGTCATCAGCCAGTCTTTCTAGGAGAGGTTGAAGAATAGGAAGGAGGGTGATTGTGGATGCAGGAGGAGGGAAAGAGGAGCCGGAGGACCAAGTCTCTGCACAACCCTCCCTCCAAATTCTGTGAGGCCACCTCCTCCTCCTTTCCCTCTTCCACCCTCTATAGTGCAGAATCAGCCAGCAGCTCTGGCCTTTAGCAGAGAACTCAGTGTCCACTTCCCTCCCTGCTCTCTCCTCAGGAGGACCTTACCACCCGGCCGAGTGCTGCTTCAACTACATTGCCCAGGCAATCGCGCGTCATCGGATCACGGGTTATTATGAGACCAGCAGCCAGTGCTCCAGGCCCGGAGTGGTGTAGGTGGCACCCACACACCATATACCAGGGGACAGGAAGCTTGCAAGCCCTGGGGGATAGGGAGGAACTGGAGTGGGGACTCCCCAGAGCACTTCTCAGGTGCAGTGACAGGCAGCGGAGGGGAAACCTGGGGGCTTTCTGGCCTGGCTGAGCCTCTGGGGAACCAGGAGGAAGCTGAGCCCATGCATGGGGAGGCATCAGGGGAGGGGAAGGGAAGGCAGGAGGGCACTTCCAGGGGCAGGAGAAGCATGGAGATGGGTCCAGGGTCCCCGAGGGGCTGGAGAGCATGTCTCGGAGAGGAGACTGGTCTTGAGCTGCCTGTGACAAAGAAAGGAGAAACAGCCTAGATGGGTGAGGAATCTGGGAGGCTGACCGGCTCACACTTCACTGCTTGATGCCTGAGTCTGTAACCCTTCTCCCTTTCGCTCCATAGCTTCATCACCAAAAAGGGCCATTCCATATGCGCCAACCCCAATGACGTCTGGGTCCAGGACTACATCAAGGACCTGGAGGAGAAATGAGCTGGCCATCTGAAGAAGAGGCCAAGGCCCCCCTCTCAGTCCCAATGCTCAGCCCGACACCTTCTGGGAGCTGTCCTGCCTTGAATTAAAGACCTAGAATTTATGCCCTCCCTGTCCTCATTCATTTCTACCAGATCTACTCTTTGGAGCCCAGCTGGGTGGCACTCTTGGCATCAGGCTTTGCTCTACAGAAATGTGGTCAGCCCTAGATGCAAAAAAAACAGGTCAGGCCTGTGATGGGGGTGGCGGGAAGCTAAGGCCACCTTTACATAATAATCATCATGATGATAACAGATACCATTGCCTTACCACTTTCTACCTTTCAAGCAGTCTGCTAAACAGTCTGAGTGTATTATCTTATTTATATAAGCTACACAAGTGTAATGCTAAGAATTATCACCTGATTTTGCAGGTAAATCTTCATAAAGTCTTCGTAGCAGCCAAATTTCAAAGTCCTTTGTTCTGTGCTGCTCCCAAGGCCCTTGTTCCCAGCTATCTGGGATAAGAATGATTTTATCCAACCCTTCCCCCTCCACTTGCATACATCAGGTTGTACTATATTGTTATGCCCATTTTTGTGTCCTCCACCAAGGCCTAACAGAAAGCCTGGCCCATACCAGGTACTCAGGAAATGGATGGACTGATGGCTGGATAGAAAGATACAGGAATCAAGAGGATGCTATGCTCCATGAATAATACCCAGCTGCCCCCAAAAGCTCTCAGACCCATCTTCGGGGTTCAAGGAGGAGATCCTCTTCCTCAGAGTAAGAGCATGGCCAGTGTAGGTACAGTGCCCACTCTTCCCAGGCCACCATCTTCCACACACCAGGGCCAAGAAGATACTTATATGCTAAAGGTACAACCAGGCTTCCTCAGACCTCCTCACCTCCAAAAACAATGGTCAATGGGGTATCCAAATACATACATACTACCGTCCTAAAAAGCCATAGTGTCACCACCACTGCCTTGAACCCACCAGGACGAAATGCATTATATAGTTTTTCCCTATTCATGAGCAGTCATGCAAAACAGCAAGCCCCATAAGGATCTTCATATGCCCCTGCTTCAGTCTACTTTCATTTACTGAAACGCACCCCACTATGCCTCTAAAGCGCCTGCCAAAATCCCCTATATCTTCCATGTCTTCTCTGAATTCTACCTTCAATCCCTGGAATGGGGTCCTGAGGCAGTCTGAAGAGAGAAGACGCGGAGGGGCAGGTCAGCCCTAGTCAAGGCCCCTGGCCGAGAAGCTCAGAAACACCGAAGAGATTATCACGTGCGTGGGGTTGGAGCGCCCTCTGCATGCCGTGATTGGCCGCGGTAGCCGGTTGGATAAACCCATATCGCAGGCAAGCAGGAGGGCTGGCCAACTAGATCTAAAGGTGGTTCAGAGTCCAAGGTCCAAAGAGATAAAAGAACATTAACGAATAAGCCAAAGACCTCAGCAATAAATGAGGACTCAAGGATCGCACATTGTTTTTTCTCAGTATTACTAACACAATCTGTGACGGGAAAAGGTGTGAGTTGAGCCATGTGTCCTTAGACTGGGGATGGGAGGCATCCTTTTCAGAGGTCTAAACCCTATCCTCGCTCCAGTCTGTGATCTCTCTAATCCTGCTTTATTTTCACCCTCCCAAAGACCGATCACCTGAGGGTACTGGGGTGGTTCCACCCCCTTTCCTCCCCCTTTCCCCAAAATAGAGATGGTGGCAGGTAATGTGGTGAAATCACACGGATCTGGTTTGCAGAACTGCCTCTCATCTCTGTGACCTGGGAGAATTTAACCTCTCTAAGCCTCAAGTGGCCTCATTTATAAAATGGAATAATAATTTCCGCTTCACTGTGGTGAGAATTAAGTCAAACAGCGCCTATATAAGGTGGCTGACACACAGCACACGTGAACCACATGTTCCCTTCCTCTACTCCTCTCCTGGTGAATTTAAATCTTATTAATTCAGGGCACCTGGGTGGCTCAGATTGGTTGAAGGTCTGACTTTTGTTCAGATCATGATCTCATGATTCATGGATTTGAGCCCCCCCCCCACCCCCATTGGCCTCATGGCTATCAGTGCAGAGCCTGTTTGGGATTCTCTGCCCCCTCCTCTCTCCACTCCTCCCCTGCTCTCTCTCTCTCTCTCTCTCTCTCAAAAATAGATAAACATTAAAAAAAAAAACTTATTAATTCAACTCTGCGCCAAGCCCCACCCTTCCTTTTGGCAAACAGAGGGAGGCACCTCTTCTCTCCTCCACCCACTCTGAAGTGGTCAGAGTACAGAGAGCAGCTGTGAAGTCAGAGTGGACAACCAGCCTCCCCTGAAGCTAAAGGGTCCCCCGGAGAGGATGAAGTTCTCTGTGGCTGCCCTCTTTCTCCTCATCCTCATCACCACTCCGGCTTTGTACGGCCAGTCAAGTGAGTCCACCTGTCCCTGCAGGGCTGGAATGAGAAAGGGCAGCTGGCAGTGAGGTGACATCAAGAGTCCTGTCAGGTCTCTGTCATCAGCCGTGGGCCCTCTCCCCTCCTGCAGGCACACTCCTCAAACTCTCTCCTTTGCAAGGAGAGCTGGGCTGGTATCTAGATCCCTTCTGGGATCATCAGGCAGTTCCAGGAAGCTGGGTCAAGGTCATGTCAGGAATCCCAAAGATGGAGAATAGTGAGCGATCATTTAGGAGGAGCCAAGGAAGTAATAGGAGATACGAGAATAAACGTGAACAACAAAAGGAGAGGAAGATAGCTGGATAAGAAAAGCTACAGGTGCTCTGAGAGAGCAGGACAAAAGGTACTGGGAAGGGGGCTGAAGTGATGTTTGGGGCCAATCCCAGGGGTGGGGAGTCTGAACCTAGATACTCTTCCTTGTAGTGTCTGGCACAGATTTCTGGGAATATCATGGCAGCCAAAGGAAGGCCCAATGGGATGCCCAGGTGTGCAGTGCAGGATTTCATGGCCTCTGTCCTCATTCCCCAGCCTGGGTTTAAATAAAGGCTATAGAAAAGAGAAAGGGGTTGAAAGGTTTTGGGAGCCACAGGATGCTTGGGACCTATGGAGAACAAGGTTTGTTTTTCCCACTCTCTATCCCTGCCTCAACCATCATGTGTGAGGACCTGGCAACAAGAAAGAGACCAAGCCACTCAGACTTTCCACATACCAACTTCCATGTGCCCCAGCCCCTTTTTTTCTCCCTAAGGCTACCTTTAGCAGGTGGTCTGGTCGGACTCTGGCATATAAACTCTCAGGGGAACAACAGTCATGCACACCACATATTCTGCCCACATGCTCTCAAGATGACCCCTGGACTTTGTCATCTTTGCTTTGAGAACCAGGGTCATGGACGTCACTATGTGCAGAGCTGCATCTGGTGGGTGGCAGGAGGTAACATTGCCCTTAGGGAAGGTCAAACAGACCGCTACGATGGGTTCAGTCTTCAAGAAGGTTTCAGAAAATGGCCCACCCAAAGCATGGATCAGCCAAATGGTACTCTTGAGATATTCCAATCTTGGCCACCAGCTGGAAGCAAAGGGTCAGGCGGCAAAGGGATCTGCACTCTGCAGTTTTGGGGCTGGGAGAGGTCTCTACCTGCCCTCTTGTTTGATGTCCCAACTGATGAGTAGTCAGGGGAGCTCAAGAGAAACACAGCACTAACAACCAACCAGGGCCAGCATTCTGACAGCATCAAAGAGAGGGGGGGAAGTGGCATTTCCAGGCAAGAAAAATGGTCAATTACTACCATCTACTCTTAATTGTAACAAGCACTGACTGAGCCTTACTATGTTCTGAATTAAGGGTTTTACCAGTATTTTCTCAACTAACCCTCACGATGATCCTAGGACATATAAGTATATTTTTACCCTAATTTAATGGATGAGACCTAGAGAGATTTTTTTAATTTGCCCATACTTCAAATCATTTGGTCAAGATACCGATTCCAGATGTCTGACCCGAAGCCTAAACAGAACACTTTTCTTCCCACCCTAACTTCTCTGGCTCACTGCTCATCTCACCCTCCTCACTGACCTCAGCCCCTCTAATGCTGCTAGGATAGAGTCCACAGCTCAGAAGGTGTGCTAGTCTCCCCTTCCCTCTCCAATTCTGTCTCCTCTTCTTTCTTCTCACATTGCATTGCTGCCATCTGTAGCGGCTCAGCATTCCCCAGACACTCGGCTTCCCCCACGCCTTCATGCCTTTCTCTTTTCCAGATCCCACAACCCTTTCATCTGCTTCAATCCCACTCATCTTTCAAGAAGCAAGCCATGCACCACATGCTGTGGGACTTCTTCCTCAGCCACCCAGGCTGGGGTAGGTACCCCTCATTCTGTTTTCCACAATTCATTTCACTTTCCCTTTTCACTCTGACTAGACAGTGAGACGCTCCAGAGTAATGACGGTGTCTTCCTCAGGGTTTTGCCCCCTTAGAGCTCACTATGTGTTGGCCAAATCAAGCCCTGTCTCACCAACAAACATGAATAACCAAGTCACTTGCATTTGCTGAAACTCAGTTCAGAAGCTGAAGGTTCTAGATGTATGTCCACCCCCCCCCTTCCTTTTTTCATGTTCTCTGTTACCCATAAAGCTATCATCAGTCCCTGCTAACAGATGGTTTGCCATCAGAAGCATAGAATGCAATGGGTGGGAGATGAAGGTAGGCAACCACGGGCTCCCTCTATGCCTACCTGGTTCAGCTTTCAATGTGATTCTCTCAGAAATTCCTGAGTCGGTGAACCATTCTCCCACCTGCTGCCTGAAGTATCATGAGAAAGTATTGCCAAAGAAATTGGTGGTGGGATACAGAAAGGCCCTCAACTGTTACCTGCCAGCAATCATGTAAGCATCCCCTGCAGACATTTCTGTGGAGGGGGAAGGGGAACTGGGGCCAGAATGAGATGCACAGAACCAAGAAGTCTCCATGCTAGAAGCAGGAGAGTCGTGCTTAAGGGCTTGGGCTTTGAATCTCGCAGGGAAGTCCTCGGTTGTTTATTTTTTTAATATTTACTTATTTTGGGGAGAGAGAGAAAGAGGGATAGAGTGGGAGAGGACAGAAAGAGAGGGAGACAGAGGATCTGAAGTGGGCTCTGCGCTGACAGTAGCGAGCCTGATGTGGGGCTTGAACTCATGAACCACACAAGGTCATGACCTGAGCCAAAGTTGGACGCTTAACCTACTGAACCACGCATGAGCCCCAGGCCTGAGTTTAATTCTTGATGTTGCCACTTATAGTTTTGTGGACTGATAAATGACAGCCATAATGGTACCCATGCCTAAGTATCTTGGTTGAGCAGGGAACAGGCTGAAACAGGGACAATGAAGCCAGGTCTAGAAGCCAGAGAGGGAGGCCTACTGAGGGAATTCAGATGGGGGAGGCCTAGGGATGCAGTAAAGAGTATGAGGTGAGCCCCCAGTGAGCTAAAAATGGGGGAGTGTGGACTGGACCCCCACCCTACTCCATGCTCGCTGACATTCTAACTCTGCCTCCACAGTTTTGTCACCAAAAAGAATCGAGAGGTCTGCGCCAACCCCAACAACAAATGGGTCCAAGAGTACATCAAGGATCCCAATCTACCTTTGCTGCCTCCCAGGAACTTGGCCCAGGTTAAAAGTATTAGAACATAGGAAGGCCAACCCCAGCTCTGAAGCTCTGAAGCCTCGGTGGGAGTCCAGGTTCCGGAAAGAAAAATGCAACCCTGTGAAAATGCAGGTGGCCATGTGGTCTGGATGACAATGGTATTGAGAGAAGCTGGCCCCTGATGCAAAAAGTAATTAAATTAAAAGTATTTCAAACACTTTCTCAATCTCCAGAGGAAATGCCAAAGTTAAGGGAGGTGGGGATAAATACATTCTCAATACACAGAAATATGTATTTCACATCTTTCTCTTGGCTCTGCCTTTGGGGCCTCCCCTCCCACCTGCACACCAGCCATCCTAAATAATTATGGCCAGCTTCCGACCTGCCACATCTCTGGCCCCTTACTCATGAAATGCCTGATAGAACTCCTGACTTTTCCTGTCCATGCTTATCCCTTTACTAGATTTCTTTTTCTTCTTCTTTTCTCTTAAAACATTTCTTTTTTAGCAACCAGAGTGGGAATATTCACATGCTAATAATTTTTGTCCCTGTTGCAGAGGTTTTGTTAGATTCCCAACACAAAAGAGAAGAATAGATCTCAGTATCTCCAGTTTACTCATGCTGCAGCCCCATCAGGGCTTCATTCCTTTTTAAGGCTGAATAATGTTTCATTGTGTGTATGTACCACATTTTGTGTATCCATTCATCCATTGTGGACATCTGAGGATCCATACCCCCTTTTCTTGACATTAGCTAGACTTAGTGGATCTTGGTTTCCATTACTGGTGCCAAAAGCACTTTAACTTATACAATGGCCCATCAGTCACCAGCCAGAGCCTCAGAGACAGGGAAGGGTCCAAGACTCTGACCCACAGGCTTCCTGCCCTTGTCCCTCCACAGCGAGGAAGTGGTACATGTTTTAGAATCTCCTGGCCTGGAGGCTCCTGCTCCTTGACCCAGAAATTTCTCTTCACCCTCCTTGCTATCAGAGCTGAGGCATTACAACTGAACATGATCAAATGTCTCCCTCTAGTAGCTCACAAACCAGGGACAACAGAATCACTAACAAATACAACATAGTCAGGCACAGATCTTTGCTTGCAGAGGCCAAAGTAGACATGGAGGGATGTCAGGGCTTGGATTGACACAGGAACCAGAACAAATTCAGCATGTACACCCAAGGCAGCAGGAAGTTTCAAAGTCCTTAGCCAGCACCAGGGTCAAAAACCAGGGAACCAGAGTTCACAAGCCTAAAGGACAGGATGGAGCTGAAAACAGGAAGCACAGGCCAGGGCCAGGATCCTGGCAAGCCAGAAAGGAAATGTTGTTTGTTGTTTCTCTGTGTGTGTCTCTCTGTCTCTATCTCTGTCTCTCTCTCTTCTTTTTTCTTTTTCTTCTTGATCCATCACAGTTCAGAGTTGAGATGTCAGTCTAAAAGCCTAATTGAAAATCTATATACAAAGTCAAATTCCCACCCCAGCACATAATACAAAGCTTGCCAGAAACTCCTAACAGTTCAGAACTGGACATACTTTTCTTAGGTATATTCAGTTGTTTTCAAAGAGGGCTATTCCTCATCTTTTCAAGGTAAATAGATGCCTGGCTTTAGACACATGCACGCACACACAAAGGCCCTCCTCATCAGGACACACAAGGGTCTTCTAGCCCTGGTCATCCTAAAGCAAAGACCTCATCCACATAAACCTACACCTAACCAGCTTACTTGACTGTCAGCCTTATGGGACGTGGGTGATCAATTGGGAGGGAATGGAAAATAAGGCCTAGAACAGTGGGTGGTTTTCACTGCTATATCAGAGAAAGGCCTTCAGCTCAAAACAGGAGAAGACCGCACACAGCAACATGGAGGAACCACTGGGTAGGACAGGAAGGCAAAACATGAGGAAACAATTCTGGGTAGTACAACGAGAATTTTATGTGGAGGTGAGAGTTCTGGCCACATGTCCCTTCTCTGTACAGCCATTTGCTGCACCATGAGCATTTGAACCAGATGACCAGATGTCCTGGGGCTGGATTTGGCTGGCCTGTAAGAAATGGTATTTGGCCTGGCTCCAGGTGTGTTGTAATTTGCCATAATCCCTGAACTTCTGCCATTGTCTATAGCATGAATGTTTTCTGGGGCAAGATGGCAGCCCCCCCCCCCCCATTGCTCAGCGAGATCCTCCCCCAGAGAATCAGGGTGGGTCCAAGCCCTGGGGGTTTTTGAAATGTGGGATTTTGAAACACAACCCCATCTGGGGGCGCCTGGGTGGCTCAGTCGGTTGAGCGTCGGTCTTCGGCTCAGGTCATGATCTCATGGTTTGTGAGTTTGAGCCCCACGTCCAGCCCTGTGCTGACAGCTCAGAGCCTGGAGCCTGCTTCAGATTCTGTGTCTCCTTCTCTCTCTGCCCATCCCCCGCTTATGCTCTCTCTCTCTCTCTCTCTCTCTCTGTCTCTCAAAAATAAATAAATAAATGTAAAAAAAATTTTTTTTTAATAAAATAAGGAACACAACCCATCTGAGATAAAGCTGGAGGGAGGGGCCGCCTGGCAGGTGGACAGCTTGGACATGGACAGGGTAGAGGCGAGGAGTGGACGGAGGCCTGAAACAAAGGAGGGTGCTTGATTACAGGTGGGTGAGAGAGCAAAGTTTCTGTGCCAGAGACTGGAGAGCTGGATGAAGCCATTTCCATCTCTGCCGCACCAGCGCATATAAACTCGCACACAGATCCACCCACTAGTTGGCTAAGCAGCGCCACCTACTGGAGAACAGGGCCATTACACTTAGCCCAGTCCAACTGTGCCCTCCAAGCACATCCCCTAGAAGACCAGCACAAGTCACTCCACCTGCTTAGTGTACAGACTATAAAAGTCTTCATAGTTTCAGTTCTAGGGGAAACTGGATGTAACTTCATTCAGGCTTCATTCTGTTTGCTGGTTAACTTATTTGTTTTCTTTCTTCTGTTTTTGCTTGCATTGTTTTCTTTTTTCTTTCTTTTCTTGCTCTTTCTTGGATACAGAAAGGACACTTTATGTTTACTTTTTTACTTTATTTTATCATTTTATTTTTATTCTATTTAACTTTATTTTATTCTATAAATTGTTTTAACTTTTAAATTTTTTCTTACCTTTTTTTTTCTTTCCTTTCCCTTTTTTCTCTATTTTATCAAGCTTCTTTCAACAAGCAGACCAAAGCACATCTAGGATCTAGCTTCTTTTATTTGATTTTTGTTTTGTTTTTAATTTTTTAATTTTTACTTTTAATTTTATTAATTTTTTTCTTCCTCCAAAATACAAAAGGATGGAATTCTCCATCACCCCCCCTCAAAAAAAAAAAAAAAACAGGAAGAAGTGACAGCCAGAGATTTAATCAACACAGATATAAGTAAGATGTCTGAACTAGAACTTAGAACCATGATAATAAGAATACTAGCTGGTTAATGAAAAAATGCTCAACATCACTCATCATTGGGGAAATACTATTCAAAATCACAATGAGATATCACCTCAAACCTGTCAGAATAGCTAACATTAACAACTCAGGCAACAATAGATGTTGGTGAGGATGTGGAGAAAGAGGATCTCTTTTGCACTGCTGGTGGGAATACAAACTGGTGCAGCCACTCTGGAAAACAGTATGGAGGTTCCTCAAAAAATTAAAAATAGAACTTCCTTATGAACCAGCAATTGCACTACTAGGTATTGACCCAAGGGATACAGGTGTGCTGTTTCAAAGGGGCACATGAACCCCAATGTTTATAGCAGCGCTATCAACAATAGCCAAAGTATGGAAAGAGCTCAAATGTCCATCAACAGATGCATGGATAAAGAAGATGTGGTATCCTTTCTTGATAATACAATAGAGTATTACTCAGCAATCAAAAAGAATGAAATCTTTCCATTTGCAACTATGCGGATGGAACTAGAGGGTATCATGCTAAATGAAATTAGTCAGAGAAAGACAAATATCATGACTTCACTCATATGAGGAATTTAAGATACAAAACAGATGAACGTAAGAGAAGTGAAGCAAAAATAATATAAAAACAGGGAGGGGGACAAAACATAAGAGACTCTTAAATATACAGAACAAACAGAGGGTTACTGGAGGGTTTGTGGAAGGGGGGATGAACTAAATGGGTAAGGGGCATTAAGGAATCTACTCCTGAAATCATTGTTGCACTATATGCTAACTAACTTGTATGTAAATTTAAAAATAAATTTAAAATAAATTAAAGATCTTTCAAGATGGTGGAACAACATGGAAGTTTTTTGTGTGTCTCACATCCATGAAATACAGCCAGACCAACACTAAACCATCCTGCACACCAAGAAAACTGATCCGAGGATTAACACAACAATCTGCACAACCTGAACCACAGAATTCAGCAGGTACGCAGCGTGGAGAGATGAACTTGGGGAGAGAGAAGCTGCAGAGGGCAGGGAGCTGCTTTTGCATGTGGAGAGAGGAAGAAGATGGGGTGGGGGAGATTATGGGAAAAGCACCACTCCCCAAAAGCAGCTGGAGAGAAAGTGGAAAATTGGAAACAGCAACAGGGACTGAACTAAAAAGGGAGAAAGGAGAAAGGAGGGGGTTTAAATTCCATTAAGACTGTAAACAGGGGGAGCACAGAGTCTGAAACTCCGCATCTTGATACCTGGTGGTGCTCTGGTGGGAAGGGAGAATCCCCAGGAGCAGAGTGGGGTCCAGGAGGTTCTTGGGCCACACAGGGAGAAGCAGTTCCACCGCTGAAAGGACATTTGGTAGAGGCTGTGAGGCCACCTGGGCCCAGTAGACCCCAGAGAATGGCCACATTTGCTGATGTTGGAACAAGGTCATTGGGGATAAAGCCTGGTGCCAGATGTGTGTTGTGATTTTCCATAATCCCTGAGGTGCTGCTGCTACACTGTCTTGCAAACGTTTTCTGGGGTGGGCTGGCACCTGGCTATAGTCTGCTGATGGGCATCAGCAGCAGCACGGTCCCGCAAGCATTCCTGGGTGCAGTCAGCACCCAGCCATTGCTCAGTGAGACCCTCTGCAGAGGAGCAG